ACAACAACAACAACAACATGCAGGTGCGGGGAGTGTGCCCATGATCATTTATTGGGTTGGCAGACAATGTTTCTACAAGTTTATTTTTATGTTCTTTAAGAATGTCCAGGTATATAGTAGACCTGACAAGGGACAAGGTTTTAGTTACTCCCAGAGGGAGGAAGTAGTTGGCCGTGGCTCGGGACCATGGTCCCAGGGGACATCAAGCTCAACTGGCATAACATACTACACAAAAACATTGTTCCGCATCCTACTTTGGCTAGTAGTGACTGGGATCTTAAGAGCTTGCAAGTGGCCATCTAGATGCAATGATGGGGCTCTGCTCATCCAGAGCAAAGAAGAATGAAGGAAACCAAAGACCCACGGAAACAATTAGTCCAAGGAATTGGTACACCATTTGATCCTCAGCATATATAAATATGAGACTAGAACTAGATAGTGCCTGGCTACCACTGTCAAATGCTTGGAGGGGGAATATGTGTAAGAGATCTTGGATAGAGTGGGAGAACAATGTGGAACAAAATTCAAAATCATAAAAAAAAAAAAAAAAAGTGGGGTGGGACCAGGTTTGCTGGACTAATAGAGCCTGGTGGGACTACTGAGACTATGGCCCCTCACTGCCCTTCAGGTCTGAAATTGAACCTACTCCTGTGGCTTCCAGCCAATAAAGACATGTATATGAGCTGAACATTTACGTTAGCTAGATACACTCCTTGGAGAGATCAATCATGGGATAACAGAAGGGCTGTGTATGCACAAGGAGATAGCTTGGGAGGCAGGAGTTCATGGGAGGGAAGGACACGGGGAAGAAATAACTATGGAGAGGAAGTGGGAGGGGAACTGTTGCATTGTAGGAAATTGCAGTCAATGTCACGAGACAGTGTATGTGAGTTGATATATGGAAAATGAATTTGCTCTGAAAACTTTCACCCAAATCATGATAAAAATTAAAAAAAAAAAAAGCACTGCCATATAGCAGCCATGGAAACTGGAAAATAAAAAGAGGTCTGATTTACATCAGAACTGATTTACAAATGAGTTATCAGTCAGAACCTAATCTTAAATCAGGGACTACTTGTATTTAAGATGGCTCTATATTGAGTCCATTTAGTTGGAAAAATTTATCTGTTTGCTAGGTTTAGCATATCTAAATATATGAATATCATTCTTAAAAGAAAAAAAATAAAATAAAATGGTGCCTGTTGGCACATACTTCAAAATATTACTTTTGTTATAATATAAGGAACTCAGAATTCACAGTTTATAAAGAGCAAAAGAAAGAAAGCCATATTTTTTATTCAGAGTTTTGTAATTTGAAAAGTATAATTAAAAGTGAAACTTACAAGTGTCTCTATGTCTGGGAGGTTCTTGAAAACGAAGGACTGTCAGAATCATGAACAGGATACATGGCCAGAGAAATTCAGCCAGAGAAAGAACCTGAGGAAATTTACAAAAAAAAGGAGCATTTAAATAAACTGCAAAGCATTACTATATCTCGTCTCTTGAAGGCAAATAATGCCTTATAAAAAAGGTCACTGTCAGCCCTACTATGTACTATGTAAGGATGACAGGACCCCATCTTAGACTGAATCATTTATGACAGGGGTTCACAGAGGCCCAAGTCCATTTTTCACAGTGTCCACATTTGTGACTATGTCATCCCTTTATCCTTCTCCCACCAGACTCTGCATCTACTCCTTTCTTTTTTCCTCCACTTTCATTTATTACCTTATAACAGTGAAAAAAATTAAATAACTTTACCTATATTTCTCATACTCAAATAAATCAATTTGATTCCTCTTTCTAATTTATTTTACATTTCTAATTCTTCCATCCAAATAAATATTTTGCCAGAGTGGTGGCACACACTTCTCCTCACTTACCTTCATCTTATGAATGTTTTCCAGTGCTGCCATGTGAGGTTCATAATTATTATATTACTAGTTGTACATTACTCTTACCAAGTCTTTTTGTTAGTTACCAAATGTTTCTGTTGTTTTTATGAGTTGTTTCCAATTAATAGCAACCCTATGTACAACAGAAAAAAACATTGCCTACTCTTACACTATCCTCACAATCATTGCTATATTTGAACACATTGCTGCAGGCACAGTGTCAGTACATTTCGTTGAATGGCTTTCTCTTTTTCACTTACCCTCCACATTACCAAGCATGATGTCCTCCAGGGACTGATTCCTCCTGATAACATGTCCAAAGGACAAGAGATAAAGTCTCGCCATCTTCACTTGCAAGGAGCATTCTGGCTGTATTTATTCAAAGAAAGATTTGTTTGTTCTTGCCATCCATGGGATATTCAATATTCTTCACCAACACCACAACTCAAATGCATCAATTCTTCTTCAATCTTCTTTATTCATTGTCCATTTCTTACATGCACATAAGGCTATTGAAAATACCATGGCTTGGCTCAGTTGCACATTAGTCTTCAAAGTGACATCTTTGCTCTTAAATGCTTTTAAGAGGTCTTTTGCAGCAGATTTTCCCAGATAATACATCATTTGGTTTCTTGTTTTTTGCTTCCATGGGCATTGATTATGGATACAAGTAAAATGAAATCCTTGACTGTTTCAATCTATTCTCCATTTATCATGATGTTGTTTATTGGTCCATTTGTGAGGATTTTTGTTTATTTTCTGTGTTGATATGTAATCCATACTGAAGGCTATAGTCTATAATCTTCATCAGTAAGTGTTTAAAATTTTCTTCACTTTCAGAAGCAAGGTTGTATCACCTGTGTATCACAGGTTATTAATCAGTCTTTCTCCAATCCTGATACTGTGTTATTCTTCTTCATATAGACCAGTTTCTCAGACTATTTGCAAACAGATTGAATAACTATAGTGAAAAGATACAATCTTGATGCACACTTTCCTGATTTTAAACCATTCAGTATCCCCTTTTTCTGTCTCAATATCTGCCTCTTGGTCTTTATACAGTTTCCTCATGAGCACAATTAAGTGTTCTGGAATTCTCATTCTTCACAATGTTATCCAAAATTTCTTATTATCCACACAGTCAAACATTTTTCTTATATTCTCTGCTTTTAGCCAAAATCCATCTGATATCAGCAATGATAGTCCTCATTCTGGGTCCTCTTCTAAATCTAGTTTGAATTCCAGAAGTTCTTGTGGATGTACTGCTATTAAGTGTTTGAATTTTCTTCAGCAAAACTTTACTTGTGTATATTATTAATGATATTGTTCTATAATTTCCACATTCTGTTGGATTACTGAGGAACTCTGGTAGCACAGAGCAATGGGCACAAGTACAGATCTCTTCTCGTCAATTGGCCAGGTAGCTGTCTTCCAAACATCTTGGCATAGATGAATGAGAGGTTTGAGCATTCCATCCATTTGTTGAAACATCTCAATTGGTATTCCATCAATTCTTGGAGCCTTCAGTACAATTTTGACTTCTTCATTCAAAACCATTTGTTCTTGATCATATGTAACCTCCTGAAATCATTGATCATAGGCCCATTCTGTTTTGTACAGTGACTATATATTCATTACATTTTCTTCTGATGTTTCTTGCATCATTAAGCATTTTTCCCATATGTCAATATTGCTATTAGAGGCTTGAGGATTTTCTTCAGTTCTTTCAGCTTGAAAAATACCAAGCATTTTCTTTCTTTTTGGTTTTCTAACACCACGTCTTTGGACATCATATTATAATACTTTACTTTGTCTTCTTGAGCTACCCTTAGAAATCTTCTGTTCAGATCTTTAATTTCAACATTTCTTCCATTTGCATTTGCTACTCTATGTCCTAGAGCAAGTTTCAGAGTCTCTTCTGACATCCATTTTGACCTTTTCTTTCTTTCTTGTATTTTTAATAAACTTTTGCTTTCTTCATGTATGATATTCTTGACCACAACATATGAAGAATAGGTATTTTTTCCAAGATAGATTTAAATCAAGTAGAAGGTGATTTGTAGACCTAACACCAGATAACATCTGCTATTATAAACAAACAAACAAATAAATAGATATGTATAGAGGAAAAGGTCTTTGGATGACACAAATGGTTTGCACTGAACTAGTAAACTAACATGGAGCTCTGGTGGTGTAGTGCCTAAGGCACTTGACTGCTAACCAGAAGGCTGGCGGTTCAAACTCACTAGCCACTCCTCGGAAGGAAGGTTGGGCAATCTACTTCTCTAGTGATATTGCCTCAGAAACCCAAGGAGGGGTAGCTAGTAAGTCGGATCCGACTCAACGGCACATCAAAACAACAACAACAGTAAACTAATGATCGGCATTTGAACCCACCCATCAGTGCTGCAGAAGAAAAGTCTGATGATCTGCCTCTAAATATTACAACCAAGAAAACTGTATGGAACAGTTCTATTCTGTAACACATGGGGTTGCCGTGAGTCTGAATGAACTCGAGGACAACAGTGCTTTTTGTGTTTGGTTGATTTTTTGCCTTTAAAGTTTGGAAAATTTAAAAGTGCAGAAAGAATACAAACCCTCTCCCAAAGGAATATCATTTTAACAGTTTTCTTATCCATTTAAAATAATTAAACAATATAAGCATAACTAGTGTTTTTGGAAACAATTTTTCATATGAGCACTTACAGATCCACCTGATTTTTTTTTTATTATTCTTATTTATTTATTTATTTATTTATTTTTATTGTGATTTGGGTGAAAATTTACAGAGAAAATACACTTTCCATACAGCAGATCACATACACTTTTTCTCATGACATTGACCACAATTTAGCACAATGTGACATCTCCTCTCCCACTTCCTCCTGATAGCTACCTCTTCCCTGTGTCTATCCCTCCATGCATTCCTACCACCTGAGCTATTTCCCTGTGCCTGAGAAGCCCTTCTTTCTCTCTTGCTTGTTCTCTCCAAGGAGTGTATCTACCTCAGGTAAATGCTCAACTAGTATGCCTATCTATTGTTTGGCTGGAAGCCACAGGTGTGCATTCAATTCCAAACATGAAGGGCAGCTAGGGGCCAAAGTCTCAGTGGTTCCACCAGGCTCCATCAGGCCAGCAAACCTGTTCCTGCTTTTTTTTTTTTTTT